TGGGCGAGGGCGCCAAGGTCAACCATTACCGGTTGCTGGACGAGAGCAAGGCCGCCTACCACGTGGGCACGACCCGCGTCACTCAAGAGAAGGACAGCAGTTACGAGTCCGGTTCCTTTGCCATGGGTTGCGCCCTGGGTCGGCATGAACTAACGGTGCTGCTGGACGGCACCGGGGCTTACTGTTCGCTGAATGGACTTTACCTCACCGACGATACCCAGCACATGGACAATTTAATCTCTATCGACCATGCCCACCCCAACGGCACCAGCCGCCTGTATTACAAAGGCATCCTGGACGGCCGATCCCGGGCGGTGTTCGGGGGTACGGTGCTGGTGCGGCAGGATGCGCAGAAGACCGACGCCCAGCAGACGGACAAGAACCTGATCCTGTCCGATCGGGCCGAGGTGGACAGCAAGCCCAGCCTGTTGATCTACGCCGATGACGTTAAGTGTGGCCACGGCGCCACGGCCGGTCATATTGACGACGATACCCTGTTCTACATGCGGAGCCGCGGCATAGACCCGGAGACGGCAAGCCAGATATTGATTCATGCCTTCGCCAGGGATATTATCGACACCGTTGCCCACGAGCCAGTGCGGGAGTACCTGGACCGGTTGTTCCTCGACACGGTCAGCGGCAAGACGATTTCCGGCCTGGGCGACAGCAACCCCGGTTCCCGCCAGCGCCAGGGAGGTGCCTAGAGTGTCAACAACTAAGAACTCTTTTGATGTGGCCAGGATACGGGAAGATTTCCCAATCCTGAAGCAAATGATCAACGACCGACCCCTGGTGTACCTGGACAACGCGGCCACCAGCCAGAAACCCCAGGTGGTCATCGACGCGCTGGTCAACTACTACATGACGGAAAATTCCAACGTTCATCGCGGAGTCCATACCCTGAGCCAAAGGGCCACCGATTCCTACGAAGAAGCTCGGGTCAAGGTCCAGCGGTTCCTCAACGCCGCCGATGATAAGGAGATTATCTTTGTCCGGGGCACCACCGAGGGCATCAACCTGGTGGCCCAGACCTACGGGCGGCAGAACGTTGGCGAAGGCGACGAGATTATCATCTCGGCCATGGAGCACCACTCAAACATCGTCCCCTGGCAGATGCTTTGCCAGGAAAAGGGCGCTCACCTCAAGGTTGTGCCCATCAATGACGAAGGAGAATTTCTTCTGGACGAGTACGAGAATCTGCTCAGTCCCCGCACCAAGCTGGTGTCCATCGTCCACCAGTCCAACGCCCTGGGCACCATAAATCCCGTGGAGCAGATTGTGGAACTGGCCCATGCCAGGGGTATTCCCGTGCTGCTGGACGGGGCCCAGGCCGTGGCCCATGTCCCCATCGACGTGCAGCGGATTGGTTGCGATTTCTACGTCTTCTCGGGTCACAAGCTCTACGGCCCCACCGGTGTGGGAGCTCTCTACGGGCGGGCCGATTTGCTGGACGCCATGCCTCCCTACCAGGGCGGCGGCGAGATGATCCGCTCCGTAACCTTTGAGAAGACCCTGTACAACGTCATCCCCAACAAGTTCGAGGCGGGCACCCAGAACATCGCGGGGAGCGTTGGTCTCGGGGTGGCAATTGACTACGTCAACAACCTGGGTATGGACAACATCGCCGCCTACGAGAACGAACTGCTGGCCTACGGCACCAAACGGTTGTCCGAAATTGAAGCTGTTCGGCTCATCGGGACCGCCCGACACAAGGGCAGCATTCTGTCTTTTGTTATGGAGAATGCCCACCCCCACGACGTGGGCACCATTCTGGACGCCGAGGGCATTGCCGTCCGCACCGGCCACCATTGCGCCCAACCCCTGATGGACCGGTTCGGCGTGCCGGCAACCGTGCGCGCCTCGCTGGCCTTCTACAACACCAGGGAAAGAAATTGATACCCTGGTCAAGGGAATTGACCGGGTTATTGAGGTATTCAGCCGCTGATGTCTAACCTGCACGACCTCTACCAGGATATACTGCTAGAGCACAACAATCGGCCCCGCAACTTCCGCAAGCTGGAGGACGCCAACCGGCAGGCCGACGGCTACAATCCTCTATGCGGCGACCAGATTACCCTCTACCTGAAGGTGGAGGACGATGTGATTACCGACGTGGCCTTTCAGGGCGTGGGCTGCGCCATCTCCCGGGCCTCGGCTTCCATGCTGACCCAGACAGTCAAGGGTCAGACCCTGGCCAAGGCGGAAGAGATTTTCGACGGGTTCCACTCCCTGATAACCGACCCGGACGCCGACGTGGACTACGAAGCCCTGGGCGACCTGGAAGTGCTGTCCGGCGTCTCCGCCTTCCCCACCCGCATCAAGTGCGCCGTGCTGGCCTGGCACACCTTCAACGCCGCTATCGAAGGCAAGGACGACTCGATAACGACGGAGTAGGAGGGTTCCCGCTCTACCCCGTCGGGCAAAGCGTTTACTTTGCTGGTTAGTTGGGACAAGTACGTCTCCACAATGCTCCAAACCAGCCTGTCATCCACATCGGCGTATCCATGAATCAGAATATTCCGAAAAGCAATTATCCGCTGGAAGTTGCTGATGCGGCGAGCCATTTCCTCGTCCACTCCAGCTAGCTTGTTCATCGCCTCGCCAATTATCTCGAACTGCCGCTCTACTGCTGAGCGCAGCAAGACATCTTCTTCGTAGGCGGCCAAGCCCTTGCCGTCGGTGAACCTTCTGACCAACGCAGCCGCTTGTTGAATGTCAGACAGATACTTTCTGACTTCAAGCCGCATAGACAAGGCTCTTGGTTTCTTCGACGGACTGAAGGAAATAAGGATTTCTGATTGCGCGGCCTACTACCAGATCCACAGGCCTGCCAAACAGTTCTTCCAAGCCTTCCAGCAAACCGAAATAGTTGTCTGCGAAGCTGGCGGTTGCCATCGGCAGGAACTCCACCAAAAAGTCCAGGTCACTCTCACCGTCCCTGAACTGTCCAGTTGCGGCGGAACCAAAGAGTTCAAGGAGGCTGACCGCAAAGCGGCGACACAAGCCCTTCAACTCTGCGCTGTGAGCTTCCACTGTAGGATGTGGTTGTCTCCGTTTCTGGTACATTGAAAGGCCCTATCCTGAGTACGTTCCCTATAACTCTAACCGTTGGTTGTACAAATTTCATCCGGGGCTGACAAGGGTGTCTCGAGCCACGGGAGCCAATGGATTGCCCGTTGCTCTCTCATCTCTATTCTTCTAAACTCTACCATGTTTCGGCTGTGAAGCATCTGTTATGATGGAAATGTTCGAATAGATTGGAATGGAAATTCGCTCTAAATCGACCCTGAAACAGGCCTGCCTCACATTTATCGGCACCAGGTTTCTGAAAGAGAAGTCCAGGAAATCTTTATTTCGCCAAGTGTAGAAACTCCAGGTAGGGACGGAGCACGTTTAATAACAGGACGCACGGAAGAAGGGCGTTTTCTTCGAGTAGTCTATGTTAGGGACCCAGAAAACTACAGCTACTTTGTAATTACCGCTTACGATTTAACGGGTGGGCAGCTTAGGGATTTCATGCTCCTATGGCAAGGGAGAAACTGATGACAAACGTCGATAACTTTCCTCCTGGATGGGATGAGGAACGAGTCCACAGAGTCGTGGAATATTATGAGACCCAGACCCAGGACGAAGCACTGGCGGAAGCCAAAGCTGCATTCGAAAATGCTAATTACTCAGTCATGATGGTTCCCAACGACCTGTCGTTCCTGCAGTTAGAACGCTTCTGGCTGACCATGCTCGGCAAAACAGCAACGAACCCGACTCTCAGTCGTCCGCTGGAGATTACCAACCGTGACCACAAGGGCCGATCATTACACTCGCACCAGCCAGGCATTTTTCGCACAGGCGCAATCATCCCTGGCCGAGGGCGACCTGTTGCAGGCCTCTGAAAAGGGATGGGGCGCAGCAGCAGAGATGGTCAAGGGATTATCGGAAAATCCGGGGTTGGCGTCATCATAGCCACGGATTGCTATACCAGAATATTGACCTTCTTAGTGAGTAAAACATTGATCCAGACCTGCTGGCTCTCATCGGTAATGCCAGTGCTCTGCACATAAACTATTATGAAAAGTGGATGACCCGGGCTGCAGTAGCAGTCAATCTAGGAAAGGTACGCCAACTCCTAACCAAACTGGAGAACCTCCCTGCCTGACCACGTCCAAATACACACCGACGGCGCCTGCCTGGGCAACCCCGGCCCTGGCGGCTATGGCGTCGTTCTCCGCTACGGCGACCGCAGCAAGGAATTGAGCGGCGGCTACCGCCTCACCACCAACAACCGCATGGAACTGCTGGCCGTCATCAAGGCCTGGAGTCCCTCAACCAGCCCTGCAAAGTGGCCCTCTACAGCGATTCCAAGTATGTCGTTGACGCCATGGCGAAGGGCTGGGCCGTAAAGTGGCGGGCCAGCGGCTGGATGCGCAACAAGCGCGACAAGGCGGTGAACCCCGACCTCTGGGCCCGATTGCTGGACTTATGTGGCACCCACGACGTTGATTTCCAGTGGGTCAAGGGCCATGCGGGAGTAGCCGACAACGAGCGCTGCGACCGGTTGGCAGTCTCGGCGGCCAATCAACCGAGCCTGCCCGAAGACCCCGGCTATCCGCCCCGCACCTGAGTTGCACCCGACCAACATCGACCCGTTAACCCAAGCATCGAAACATTGGTATAGAGAGGTAAAGCCCTTGGTCCAGCACACGGAAAGATTCGTATCCTTTAGGGACGGGAAGTTCAACGTCCAACTGGTGGAGGGCGGCAGCGGTGACAACCTGCTTTATCTGCACGGCGCAGGCGGCTTCACCGGCTGGGACGACTGCCTCGACCGCCTAGCCGCCGAGTTCCACGTAATCGCGCCGGCCCACCCCGGTATCGCCCAGTCCGATGGGCTGGAACACCTGGACGACCTTTGGGATTTGGTGCTGTTCTACGAGGAACTGCTGGACGAACTGGGCCTGGACCGCACCTTCGTGGTGGGCCATTCCTACGGCGGCCTGCTGGCGGCGGAACTGGCGGCCCAGTGTCCGCAGCGGGTCCAACGCCTGGTGTTGGTCGGCTCCCTCGGACTATGGCTGCAGGATACACCCGTCGCCGACTTCTTCATCCTCACCCGCTCGGAGCGGACCGAGTTGCTGTGGTACGACGGCGAGACTGAAGTGGCGCAGGCATTCATGGCCCCGCCGGAAGACCCAACGGACCGCATGGAAGCAGACCTGGACCGCACCCAGACCCTGGCATCAGTTGGCAAGTTCGTCTGGCCTATCCCCGACAAGGGGCTGCCCAAGCGGGCCCACCGCATCACCATGCCCACCCTGCTGCTCTGGGGCGATTCCGACGGTATTGTGCCTCCGGCTTACGGCCCGGCCTTCCAGCGCCTGTTGCCCAACGCCACCCTGCAGGTCATCGACCGGTGCGGCCACATCCCCCAGGTGGAACGGCCCGACGAGTTCTTCAACGCCATAACGGGTTTCCTGAAGGACTAGCCTTCATATTCTTGTAGGGATAGACCAGACGTTCATAGATGGAACTTCAGTAGTATCGAGTTATGACTCGCCGTTATTGATGTCAAGAGGTTGTAGATTGAATCACTTAGAAAATGGTACAGTCACCTAACTGGACCATTTTTAAAGTGTCTGGAGGGAAAATGGTCAACTTAGAAGAATTACGCCAGAGAGCCGAATCTGCGCTGTCGGTTATTAACGAAAATCCTCTTGGCAGGCCCGTAATCATAGAATTCTCTGGAACGCCCAAAAGCGGTAAAAGTACTTGTATAGACATTGTTTCGCACTTTTTTCGTAGGCTGCACTATAGGGTACTTTCTCCGAGTGAAGGGGCATCGAGAAGAACTCCATATCACTTAAGGGAAGACTTGGTCGCTTTCAATACCTGGTCTGCCTCTTACGCTCTTACCCACATTTTAGAGAGCTTATATGATCCACACAATTACCAACTAGTGATCTTGGACGGGGGCTTATTTGACGCTCTCGCTTGGTTTCAACTCTTAGTAAGCAGAGCTCAAATCGATCAGGAAACATGTGATCAAATCCATAATTTCTTACTCATCGACAAATGGCGCTCTATTATTGACGAAGTATTTCTGTTCACGGCGGACCCTGACACCTCAATGGTCAGGGAAAATCATAATGCCCTCATAGATGAGCCAGGATCAACTATGAACCCGCCATCTCTTCAACAGCTTAACTCTGCTTACAGTTCGGTGCGCGACAAATATGCTGACGATTTCCGACATTTCGAGATGATAGACACTAG